AATTTATAATCACAATTAAATAAAATTTACTAACCAGTTATATATGGATTGAATTATTAGCGCTTACTGTTAGTAAGTATAAATCTAATTTATAAATTTAAAAATTTTCCTATTAAATTAATTAATCTAATTAATTATTAGCTAATGTGCAAAGCGATTACAAAGCAATCATTAACGCTGCTGATAAACGTGGTGAGTGTAAAATTATATATTCAATTTGATCGACACTGACTAAAAGGAAATTTCATTTATTCTTTATTCCCATATTTTAGGTTTACCTGCGTAATACGGAAATAGGTAATTTTATGTAGCATAACATAAAAACATAATTACAATGTAATATATATATATATATTTATAATATTAACATTTTGGTTTTACGACAAAATTTGTTTGCTGATTGCAATTTTAAATTTTGTATATTGATAATATTAGAAATATTGGAAGAATTTTTGATTTTAATTCAAATAATAATAATATGATTATAAAAGTCCTTAATGTTTATAATAATGTAACAATTCTCTGTAACAAATTTTGTCCTAATTTAGAATATTCAATTAAAGAAAACATAAGGGTTTAATCACTTTTGCTATAAAGTCTTATGAATTACTTTTCAACTTACCTTTTTATTTTGTAATTGTCATTTTGAAAAGTCATCACATTTACGAATTAAATAAAAGTTTGTCAATAATATATTGCCCTGAATCTTTGTAATCTTCACATGGCAAGTCTCCTTAAAAATCCATTTCTAAATAAAAAACTTTTTCATTCATCAATACTCACATTCTACATTCAAGTTACTTAATATTATTTTATTATTACTAGTCAATCTGATGATTCTAAAAACTTGTTCAATTAATTACTATACGAAACTTTGAATCTATTAATGTGCTACATAATGCTACATAATGCGATGCAAGCAGGCTAAAATTTAAAAATGCACATAGAAGTTATTATGTAATTTTGATCTATATAACTTCATCTACAATTGCTTTATATACACATGTTCCTATAAAAATCAATTGACTGTTAATTCCAATAAAACATTAATCTACCAGGCCTGTTTCCACTATATAAATCTAATAGCTTATGTTTTCAAATCCGATAACCTCTCAGTAATAATACAAAGTCTGTTCACTGCATATAGGTTTTACGTATGTGACATAATGAAGAAAAGCCAAAAAAAACTTGCATTAGCACATCTCTAACAAAGAAACAATATTCTGTATCGTAAGCCTTTCGACCGAATCTTGAAAACCTACATTGGCCAAAGGAAAAATAAAAGCGGTTATGATAAGCGTTTAACGTATTAAAAATTTCTAAACCTTCCACATAGTCCAAATTTAAGCATTTGATACTCGTATTTTAAAATTTTTTATATCGGTGTAACCGAAGGGCTTCGTTTAATTAAGCAAGTTTGGAGACATAAATTTGTCTGGTTAAAAACTTTTATAAATAATTTGCTTCATGCACCAAATGATTTAATGTGCAGGTCAAGATAAAACATTAAAAATTCATGTAAGATACTGTTATATCTTACAGCATGTGTTTAAAGGCGCAATTTGAAGCGTATAGTTGTATCATCTGATGAGCTTTCAAAAAAGTTTCACCAATTTTCCGAAGGTTTTCTAAACTTTGTACAGGTAAAATATTAACTTATCTAATAAATACATAATTTATAAAGCAATTAACATTATAGGCAGTTTAATTCTGATTTAGCATTTATAATACAGTAATTAACGATTGACAACTCTTTGGCGAAATAGTCATTTTTTCCACAAAAAAGAAAAAAAAGGGACTCATGAAAATAAATAGAATTACCGTCATTATGCAAAAAAACTATCATTAAAGTTGTTAAACAATTCATTATGTACAAGAATGTGTGGGTGTGTTTTATGCGACCAGTGCAAAAATTGTGAATTTTTTTTTTTACAAAATTTTATTTGACAAAATTTAAGTAATCAAATGCATATTTAAATTAGTAATGATTACATTTAATAAATTTTTATTAATTTCACCAATTGCAAAGTATCATTATTTTTAAAATTTATGATTGATATACATCGATGTCGACGCGATATAAATTGAAAAATAACGCGGAACAAAAGCTACTCTATTGATTTTATCAATGTAATTTTAACATCAATAATTGACATAGGTCATTCATTGATCGGTGAAATTTCAAATGACACATGTCGATTCCGAATTAGCAGAAATCAATAAAAGTTCCATATATTGAGCATCAAATCTGTAGTATCTACTAAAAAATAATGCTTATTTAAACATCTTTGGATATATTTCAGATTAAATTTGACATGAAATTTTATTACTCTTTTTTTTGGCATTATATATTCGTTTCGGATATTTTATGTTTGAATTTTTCCATAGACTTATTTGAATGTCTAAAGTAATACCTATAAATCCCAGAGGCATTTATAATAATGAGAAAGAATCTATCCATATTTTGATAATCCACATTGGTATTTTTTATTTTTTTATCCATATTTTGGCTATTTTTATTCGCCCTTTGTTAGCTTTATTTTTTAAAAGCAATTTGATTTTCCACCTTAATTGCTTAATTTTTTAGCGTTAATATCTTTAATTGAAATCTTGATTATGGCGGTTTGCAAGAAGGCGTGACCTCTGCAAACCACGATGACATGTAAAAACATGAGTAATCAGCCGATTCTAGTAGGTTTTTGGATAATTTTTAAGATTTCGAATAAAATATAGATGTTAATGATTGAAAATCATAATCAATAGGGAATCGAAATATTGGAAATTTTTTTCGCCATCGTCATCACGAAATCACAGAGTCACACCTTTTTGCAAACCGCTATAATAAAGAAACGATAGTGAATCATTAGAATCATTAGAATTTTTATAATAATTAGAATTTTTAAAATCATAGAGTTTTTAGATTCCTTAGAATTTTTAGATACTTTATATGTCATATCATGCTGCTTTTACACGATATTGCTAATAATCTAACAGATCGCACAGGGGCGTTATTTCGAATCTCGGCACGAATTAAACTTAATTTAGGCCGAAATTCGAAATTACATCCAGCGCGTTATTTCGCGACTATACGGTTTGCGAACATTTTTGGCATAATTTATTTGACAGTAACAGACCAAGGTGCACATTTCATAGTGATTAAAAATAGTGCACAAGTATTATGACGTAATTTTAGCTAATGTCATAATATTTTAAGTCAACAATACGAATGACAATATTATTAAGAAATGCTCAAACATTACTATTAATGCGATTTTCTAATAATTGTAATAATTGTATAGTGATGCTTAAAATAAAGATCTTAATCACTGTTTGAGAAGATCTAAGTTTTTCGAAAATTTTAAAAAAATTGTGTCGACAATGAAAATTCATAATAAAAAGTATAAAAACACTCGAACAATACATTATTCACATTAATGTTTATAAATAAGTCAGTGAAAAAAAGTGGTTCGGGCAAAAAGTTTTTTTGCTGAAATGGTAAGTTCACTATTCATTTTTTATCATTTAAAATATTTTTTTCACGTAATAAACTATTTTACTTATCTAAATAGCAAGCTTGATAGATCGATTAAAAATAGTTTCCGTTATTAAAATTTAATTCCCAACATATTTTGACCCATTGATTGAGTCGCTTGAAAACGCCCTAACTCAGTTTGCCTTCAGATAAAATCAAATCAGATTAATTTATTGTAAATTTACATGGTTGTTAGGAATATTAGAAAGTTTTCAGCACGATAGTATAATTTGCAAACTGAGTTTTAAATACGGGATTGTTGTGCTTACGTAATAACGTACAAGAAATATGATCATAAGTGTTTGTATTAGAAATTACTTTCAAATTTCCGTCAATTAATAATTGACATACGTGAGTTTAAATTTTATACCGATTAAAATGTAACGTACATACATCAAATCTAAAGTATGTTTAATAAAGTATTTTTAACTTAAAAGAAATTTTTTTAAAAAGATTTTTATTGATTTTTTACTATTTTATTTGCAAAATGGCTACTAATCATTCTTTTTTTTTTGTTTTCAAACCTTTGAAAAATTTGTTGACAGTTATGTGAATGGTCGAATGGCCGAAAAAACGAAAGTATAATTGATTATTAAAAATATGATCGCTGTTTAGTTGTTTTAAAAACTCATCTAAACACAAAAATCAACTTTAAATTAGTTAAAATTGGAGTTATCGAAGTTAAATATTCATTGGATAAACATAACTGTGGTTATCCTATTGAGATTTTATGAAACACGGTACCTCACAAAACACAACTAATAAAACCTCTTCGAAATATCACGAAACATCTAATAAGAAATTGGTTAAAATACAAAATTTAATGGAAATAATTGTAATATGAAATTAAAAAATCCTTTTTGTAAAAACAATACTTTTCGTACCTTCCAATGTAGCTACTTTATTTTACGATTTTAACTTTACGTACATCAATTTTTAATTGACGGAAATTTGAAAGTGATATCTAACATTTGCACGATAACTATAAAGAGTTGTATTTAAATTGTTGTTTGTGATTTAAGCCTAAAGCCAAATTTTGTTTTATTTTTTTCATTTTCACTTTTAATATTTTACATTGAAGATCAAATTTAATTTTCTAATGATAACTCTATTATATGTCGGGATAAACATAAGCAATTCGTAATTTCAGCAAGCGAGTCCTATCATTTTATCGTGCCCTTAATTTTCTATTACATGTCAAGTTAGCCTACTTTTCCCATCACAGCTTATTGTACTGATATACGCTGCATATTATTAATAATAAAGTTTAATATCTGTCTCTAGCAAGTAAGATGCATCCAAATAAATATGTCAAATGCGTGCAATTATTCAATTGTCTTAAGCAGCGCATGTTGCCTGAACGTCGGTATAATTTTTATCAAACACGGGTGTAGATTTTTTATTATGTTTGCTGAATACAGTATATTCTAACTTTGTGCGTATTTATAATAAAATATATATCGTACTACTAAGGAAATAATTCTCTAACTTTATTTTCGTACCAAAAATACGTGGTGACATTATATTCATCGCTTAGGCATCTTATTAGCCAACCTTGTTCACGTGCATGTTTTTTAATCAGTCCCGTCTTTACTCATGACTAGAGATGCAGATAAATCATCACAATGTGTGGTTACAGCGGTATCGTACTAAATATACATGGTGCTGCAACTACAGTATGATTAACACTTTTGAACGATGAATATTTTTTCGACATTTAACATGATGAATTTATTAAAATATTTGTGACAAAGAATATAATTCTTTTTATTTTAAATTAAATTATAATGATAAGTTGCTTTTACCAATTTCTTATTGGCTGGAGCTGAGGGAAACGAAGTGGAAGCCTTAAAGCCATACTCTACGATTTTTTAGAAATGTCAGGCCCCCGGTTCAGCTGGTCCTAATTTAAGTTCTGAATCCGAATATTGAACCTAAATTAGGTTCGATTTTGGATACTAAAACGTTAATTTAAAATTAATTTAAAATGTAGCTGCTGACTTTAAAATAATTGTAACAAAAATAACAGAAAAATTTTTTTTTGTAAACACATTGAATATGAACGTCAAATAAAATTAAATAAAATAAAATTTTGCTGCTGACTTTTAAAATACATGGGTAAAAAAAGAATTTTTATACAAACGCATAAATCAAATAAATATGTGTTTTGATCGCAAGCACATTAGTTAAAATTAACTGTTTGGTATGAGGTAAAGAAAATTCGATAAAATAAATATGAAGAACGAAATATTGGCCTATTGAAGCAGAGGTAATAAATTGTAGTAATAATGATATGTGGGTGATCGATCGGGATCGGGTGCATCGTTATGGTATGACGGATGGGATGATTAATTGAGCGATTAATTAAAAACAAGGGAAATATATGTAAGTTTATGGGAAATGTCGTAAATAATGTAATTCAAGAGTAATGTAAATGTCAAAAAAAAAAAAAAATTAGGTAGTTTTCGCTCTAATTAATAAATCAATTTACACACTCTTACACATAATACGAGGAACTTATCTTTGATATTGCTTTACAATAAACAACTACTGTTAGACTGGACGTGTATACTTTCTTGATTTGGCAATTTTTTTAAAATACAAAACGGCAAAAGGACCTATACGCCTGAGCAAAATTCTATAAAGATTCTAGCTAGAAGGAACCGAAAAAGTTCAATGACTCAAAAACAGCAGCAAGAATATAGAAAAAATGAATTGGAAAAAAGACAAGCCTGTCATAAATGTCATATTAAAGGGCGCAGATAAATCAAGACAAACAGATAAATGATGAGGGTAACTTATAATTTTTTTGTAATTTAATTTTAAAAAATTAAATTAAATTGTAATAAGAAATAAATTAATTCAGAAAATGAAGTGTTACTCGCCTGTCAACTTACTGACGATGATTGCGATCTTCTCAAAAATTTCTGTGATGCAGTCGCGGAACTCAAACATAACTATTGCCCTATATGTAAAGAATGTTTTTCTTCAGTTACATTGGATAATAAAAGTGGTTTTTGTAATAGATGTAGTAGAGATAAACAGATGCCAAAAAGATTTTCACAAGAGAATGATATGGATCCAGGTATGTAAGAATATTAACATAAAAATATTTGTATTATGAACATAACTAAAAATATATATATATATTTAGGAGAAGTACCAGCTGAGTTACCCCATCTTAGTCAAGTTGAAGAAATGTTAATTTCATAGGTTCTTCCTATGTTAACAGTTTTTAATCTTCGAGATGGACAGCTTGGGTATAGAGGACACATGATTAATTTTCTGCAGGATGTTCAAGAATTTATTAGTAAATTATCTCAAGATCCTGCTACAATTGATACTTTGGTTGTTCAACGAACTAGACAAGATTGTACTTCATACTATGACTTTAAAGTCAAACATTTAAATATCTTAATATGGTTAAATTTTCTTAAAGAAAATAAACCATTTTATGCAAATATTGTAATTGATCAAGATATGTTACAAACTCTTTCTAAAAATATATCTGTATTTGAAAGACTACATGCTGTATATAACAATAGTTTATTAACTCAAGATACAATTAATTTAGACAATAGTAGTGATGATTTAAACAATAGCGACAATATGAATAATATTAGCATATCTGATAACCATATCATGGATAGTTTTGTTCCAAATCCTATATTAAGAGAAACTGAAGAATCTATTACTCACAATGAAATTAACAACCTTATAAATTCAAACAATACTATACAAATTAGCTGGCCTACTATTGGAAATGTTTTTATTAATGAATTCAAAGATACTGGCTATATAATAAAAGTATTTCCTACATTATTTTCTACTGGAAATGCAGATTTATGTAGTATTCAACAATATCATCATGTATATCTGCTAAATACTTTGAACATCTAATTAAATATTATAATAAAAGATTTGCACAACATCAACAATTCCATTACTTTGCACTGAATTTAATATTGAGGTAAAGAGCATTAGAATGTAGTAAACTTTATATGCAACAAAACTTGGAAGATACATATATTACTATAGAGGACATTTGAGAATTATTTAATACTGATAATTAATTAGTTGATTGTATTATTCGCTATGGTAATACACTTCAGAGAACATGTTCTTACTGAAAAAAAATGAGTGGTGAACTTATAGATATGATTAAACAAATTGGTACTAATGGTTTTATATTCTTTACTTTTAGTGCAGAAGACCTTCACTGGCCAGATCTTCATGATTTTATAACAAATAACAATATATCTACTGATTCTAATTCAGTAAAAACTGCACAAATATGGTATCAAAATTTAAAGAAGAGTCCCCATATAGCTACTTGGTTCTGTATGCGATAGTTTGAACTATTTCTTAAGCATGTGTTAATATCTAAATGGAATCTTACTGATTATTAGTATTGAAATAAATGGCAACATCAAGCAAATCTTCATAATCATGATATTGAAAAAGTTTCTGGGCCCCATACTTCAATTGGAAGACTGTGCATCAAGATAAGTATTTAATAAAAGAAATGATTACATATGTAGATTCAATCATTACAGCTATGAATCCAGATACTTCAACTTGTATATCTCAGCAGTATCCATGTCAAAAATGACAAGCAGAACTAACAAATGATTTTGAAGATTATTGTCAATTAGTCAATAGACTTCAAAAATATACAAAATGTTTACCATCTTACTGTCTTGTAGTTAATAAAACTACTAAATTAGAAGAATATCAGTTTGATTATTCTAAAGAGTTATGTGATTCTACTATTATTCAAATTAATAAGCATAATAGTCCAGAGTTATTATTGTATCACAATTATCTACTACTTAATCCACATTGTCAAATTCAGCTTCAGGGTTGAAGAGCTAATGTTGATAAAAAGCCTATTATTTTCTTTATGCAGCAAAATCAGAACCAAGGTCAGCTACACTTAATAAAATATTTGCTGCTGATATTTATAATGCAAAGCCTGATAAACTTGCTTTAAAATCTATTCAGCAGCTCTTATTATATATAATATCAGAGCAAAATTTTTCTGCTCAGAAAACATCACATCTTTTATTAATTCTGCTACTAGTTAAATCATCCTGTATATTTTTTACTCTTAATCTTAATGAAGAAGGTATATTGCACAAATTAACTCACAGTAATAACTTGCAAGGCACTATTGAAATAGAACTTTTATAAACCTATTGAATTTGTTCTTATTTACAAACCTATTGAATTTGTCCTTCTGCATTTAAAAGTTATTCTTTATTTAATTTGAACAAAGATTTTATGTATAATTTTATAATTCTTATACACTAAAATAGAGTTCACACAAAAAGGATTGCATTATCTGAATTTGGCCTCAGCCATCACCTCTTTATTTCAGACCTGATTGGAATAATTATTGCAGATTAAAAGTGCTTCTTCATATTCCTCACTGAAACTTAACAAATTTTTATCAAGTTGATAATGAAATACAGTAGATTGAAATATATCAACAAAATATTACTGAAATTGAAGCAGATAGTAATGATCTTCTTGGTCAACCTGAATACTGAAAACCAAGAAGATCATGATGATAAATATGAAGAATTTGAAGAAACTAATATTAAATATCAAGAACCATAGATGTGAATAGTTAAAAAGAATGCACAAGTTTTAATAAATAATTTATCTGAACTTGGAGAACAATCTATTGATATTGAACACATATGGTCTGGATTACTCGAAATATTTTCAAATCTTAGTGATGCTGAAATATTTTTAGAGCGTGCTAAAAGTGGTCATTTTGTGAAAATTTTTTATAAGGATAATAAAAGTCAAATCGACCCTATTACTGTCTTTCTCCTATATAATCACCTCCTATATAATTATATCATAGTAAAACCCTTTTTATAATCACACCAAAGCCTGCAATATTTTACTAATAAACTTATAAAAAAATACTTCTTTATAAGCACATCATAGTAAAAACCTTTATACAATCACACAATTTGCATGATACGGACTGTATGATTATAGAGGAGGAAGACAGTATATTAAATGAAACACAAATACAGATTTATAACTACATAATTACATACTATTCTATGATTATTAAATACCATAAAATAGAACCTTTACATGCTATTGTTATGGGTATAGCTGGTACTGGCAAATTATATGTTATTAAAGCTATTCACAATAGAATATTTGTAATTGCACAAGAATATGGAATTAATCCAAAAGAAGAACCACCGATATTAGTTCTTGCACCAACTAGTGTTGTAGCTTTTAATATAAATGGCTATACAATTCATAGTGCACTTCAAATACCTATAAATTTAAATAACATAGAACTTAATTCTGAGCCTTTAAAAAAGCTTCAACAATCATTAAAGAATATTAAAATTATTTTATTTGATGAAAAAAGTATGATCAGTCGTAAGCTACTTTCAGTAATTGATCAATATCTACATCAAGCCTTTTCACAAAATAAAGACATGTTATTTAGAGATTGTTCTGTTCTATTTCTTTGTGATTTTGGTCAACTACTGCCAGTTTTGGACCTTCTAATGTATACTTTAAATTCTAAATTAAATGATCCTATTTCAGAGGAAGGTTGCAAAATTTATGCACAGCTTAATAAGGTATTCAAATTAAGGACAATACAAAGGCAGGCTGGTGATTCTGAAGAACAGTAAACATTCTGTAATCTCCTCTTACAATTGTGTGATGGAAAGTTAACTAAAAATGATTTGCAACTACTAAATAAAAGAGTTTGCACATTAGTATCACCAACAGAGCATGCTATATTTAAAAATGCTATTTGGCTATTTACAACTTGGGACAATATTGATGAGTATAATATTACTAAATTAAAAAATCTTAATCAACTCATTGTAAAGTTAAAGTGGTATGGGTGCTAGAAATGCATTTTCAGATGCAACAAATGGTCTTGAACTAGTTCTATTTCTGTCAATTGGTGCCCAAATAATGCTTATTTCTAATCTCTAAACCAACCAAGGATTAGTAAATGGGGCAATAGGTACAATTGTTGATATTATATATAAACTAAGAAGATCACCATCCTCGCTATCTACAGTTATTTTGCTCAAAATAGATAACTATAAAGGTCCAACATTATCTATATCAAATTATAATAATGTAGTACCAATTTAGCCTATTAAATACACTTGGGAGAGAATATCTGGTATTTGCTCTCGCATACAATTTTCATTATGTCTTGCATGGGCAATTACAATTCATAAATCACAAGGTTTGACATTACTACAATCTGTCATAAATATTGAAAATAAAGAATTTGCAACAGGTCTTACATTCGTAGGTATTTCAAGGATTCGTACTCTTAGTGATCTTCTTTTCAATAGTGCATTCTCTTTTGATAGATTACAAAAATTAGAAAATAGTGCACATTTGCAACAAAGATTGCTAGAAGAACAAAGATTACTTTTTTTGTTAATTTATTATAAATGTAATATTAAAAATAATAAGAATTCATAAAATTTAAATATGTACTATTTTAAATTTAATTCTATATAAATTGTAAGACCTAAGAATTGGGCTCTAGTCTATAAAACATCACTGTTTTTCTAGTTTAAATGAAATTAGTTGATATATACACATGATAGGTTTTATACTGTTCTGTAAGTTATATCAAAGAAAGATTCATCTATAATTTATAGTTTTTTATACATATATATTTTATTAATACTTTATACTAGCAGGTCATTTCTTACGAAGGGGTTTCCAAGCATCTCACTTAAAAATCAGAAGCAAATTTTTAACTACAGTTAGACCTTCCTAAATGCAACCCCCTAAATGCAACACCTCTCTAAATACATGATAGAAGACTAGTCTTCTAATGGGACTTATAGATAAGTGTACGCTCTTTATTCTGCAATTGCATACTAATTGTCTGGCCCACTTATAAAAACTCACTCTATAAATACAACTATATGATTATTAGCCAATCAAATTCATCATTTTCAGGCTACTAAAGCTATATTTATCATATGATGATAGTAACATTATAGTTTTATTAGTGTTCTTTAATTACAACCCTCTCTAAATGCATACTCTAGAGCTAGTCCCGACAATGTGCATTTATAGAGTTCTGACTGTATCTAATAAAATTGAATAAACTGACCAAAGACGTTCTTAAGTGCTCAATTAATGCTATTAAATAATTTATCATTAATATAAATATATTTTACGTTAAAAACTTTTTTTTAAATTGTAAAAAAAAAAGTTTGTTGAGTTTATTATTTCAGTTGAAAACTTTTTGCACTAAATCATCTTTTTTAGCACTACTTTATTAAGAAAATTAATAAAGTAAATAAAGTTATTGTTCAAGCACTTCATACTTTATATTATAAATTTTTACTATAGACACTAATACCTGACAAATTTTATGTTATCTTATGAAACACAATAGTTTCATCATTAGATCAAAGATAAATAATGCATCATATTTTTCAAGTACTAATATTTCTCTATAAAACTATCTTTTATAAAATTTAGTATAATTTTGTATTTCTTTTTAAATATAATATAAATTATATATTTTATTATAAATAACTTACCTATAATAATTTTAAATTATTAGGTAGAATCATTTTTTAAATTTTAAAATCATTCTTACCACTATTGCTAATTCATTGTAATAATATAAATATTGTATCTTGAATTGCTAAATGTATTCAGAATATCTTGTTATGCATTATGTGTTTATAAACCACATTGACTGTAACGAATTAACCATTTGTTTCAATACATCAATATTGATTGCAAGCTATTATAGAGAGTTAGTAACAACCTAATTGAGTGAAAAGCTACTGAAAAAGGCTAGTAACCACTGGGAAAGGCTTTAAATCAACAAATGAAAGAAAAATATATATAAAAACAATACTTTTCTAGCATTTTTAAATTGTAACCAGAAAAGGTTTTAAACCAACAAATAGAAGAAAAATATATATAAAAACAATACTTTCCTAGCATTTTTAAATTATAAGTGAAATAGGATAATGATCAGGATAATGTTTTTAATATTCCTTAAAATAATAAAGTTAATAAAGTTTCTATATTAAACACAATATGATTTATTAAATACATGCATACTTCCTTTGATTAACTATTGTAATAACATATATACATATGTTATACATATATTATAACACACTCTATTTGTATATACAGTACATACGTATTGTATTTAAATGCATAACACTGCCTTATATTTGCAAAAAGAAAATTTATTCATGTTTAAGAAGAGCTCACCGCATTGTAAACATTATATGCTACAACTATTTTGCAACTATATACTGTACTCAGCATGATAAATAATGTTTATAATTTTTTAAAGTACTATTATATATAAATGTGATGCATAAATTTGTAGTTTTTAATTTTTTATTATGTAAAAAAAAATACATCACACCAAATGGCCAACAATAATCTGTTATATAATAAACTAATTATGCATTTCAAGAAGCATAAAATTGTTTACGAATTTGCATTTTTTCTTCATTTCTCTTTACCAAAATTGAAATTTAATATCTCCTCTAATTTTGAAATCATTACTTCTGATTTTGAAAAAAAAATCTCTACATAATTCTTTCTCCTAATTTTTAATTTCAAAATGTTGAAAATTTACTTCTTCTTTGTTATTGCTTTAGTTCTTGTCACTCTTAGCACTGTATTCGCCCTGCTTTTAAATAAACCTGGTATAGTTCTATCATTTTATTTTATATTTTATCAACCAATCAAAAAGTTTTCTTATAATTAAAATTTTCATGAATTAAATTATTAGAGAGTAAGTATAAAATTCAATATAAAAAGAAAATTTTATAATAAAATATAATAACAGCTCATTAGCTAATTTAATCTTTAGCTAGTGAGTATGAATAGAAATATTATTGTAATTAACAAAACTTCTCTAATTAATTATACATGAATTGACCTGTGGGTCGATAGCATAGCAGTTATGCTCCCAGGTTGCAAATTGGATGGTTGCCGGTTCAATTCCTCCCAACAGTAGATTAATGAATATTCGAAAATGGAAGTGAAACATCACGGGGTACAGGGAACCCGGGATATTTACGGATAGACATATTCGGGAATAGTTATTCCGAGAAGTTGTGGCTGTAAAGCGAGGTGTATTAGAACCCTAATTTGGATTAACCGAAATCACGAGACATAATGTGAGGCTGAAGTCTGATAAAAATACTACAAGAACTCGTGGCAATACCAGATTGGCTAGTGAAATCCCAGTACAATAGAAAGGTGATCCGACATCTCCGGACCTTGGTGCAGGTGGTCGAATCTGGGTACCCAATGTGTTACCAGAGGTCCAGGCCAGTTCCTGTGCAAAAAGCACGCAGTAACAAGTCTTCAGGTTGGGTATATAACTGGAGGGGTCATATAGTTATGGCAGGACTTGCCGAAAGAAAAAAAAAAAATTATACATGAATTAAATTATTAGTCGTTAAATAAAATTAACTTTACAAATTGAAAACTTTATAATAATCTACAGCTAATTAATTATAAACAATTGATTTATTAGATTGTAAGTATTTAAATTAATTCATAAATTGAAAATGTATAAATTAATAGTAAGTATAATATTTATAAATAGAAAATATATAATAATCTATAATAAACTTTTATTAATTTATATAATTGAATTATTAGCTGGTAAGTATAAAGTTAATTTATAAATTAATAAATATAAGTTATAATCTATAATAAAACTTCAATAAAACTTCATTAATGAATTAAATTTTTAGATTATAAGTATGGAGTATGAATTGAAAATTTAATTTGTAATTAATAAAACTTTTTAATAATTTATGTATGGATTAAATTTTTAGCTGGTGAGTATAAAATTATTTTGCAAATTGAAGATTTTATAAAAATTTATCACTAATTAATTATGGGAATTGCTATTTCCACCATGGATTTTTGCTATTTCCACCACAGTTATACAAGATTTTCTATTTTTAGATAATAATATAAAAACCTAATAACACTAACATTAACCTTAACACTAACCTCTAACCCTAACCCTAACCCTAAAACTAGTAAGTAAACCTTTCTTCCAGCTTTAAGTAAGTGGTTAGATCATCAAATTGGCCTGCTGGATCCCAAGATATTTGGGGTTAAAGGCGCGAACATAAAGATCTACAAATTCACTGCTACACAAAGTATTATAACATAATACTTTGTGCAACAGTGAATTTGTAGATCTTTATGTTCGCGCCTTTATTAAAACCTAAAGTTAGAGTTGTAAGTTTTTTTATATTATTGTCTAAAAATAGAAAATCTCGCGTAACCATGGTGGAAATAGCAATTCCCTTAATTATATGCGATTCATGTATACATGTGATGCATAATATACGTGATTTTTAATTTTTTATTATGTAAAAAAAATGCATCACGCCGAATGGCCAATGCATTTCAAGGAATATATAAATTGTAAACGAATTCGCTTTTTTTTTCTATATTCCTCTTTACTGAAATCGAAATTTAATACCTCCCCTAATTTCGAAAACAATCCTTAATATTTCTCCTCTTGATTTTTTTTAAAAAAACAACCCCTACTTAATCCTCCCTCCTAATTTCTAATTTCGAAATGTTGAAAGTTTACTTACTCTTCGTTATTGCTTTAGTTCTTGTCGCTCTCAGCCCGGTATTTACTCAGCCTTTGAATAAACGTGGTATAGTTCTATCGTTTTATCTATATTTCTGATAGACCAATCAAAAAAAATTTCTGGTCGAATTTTGATGAAATTGGCTGATGCTAAATTTTAAGCATTTTTTAAATTCTGGCATCAGCTAATTTTGGCATCTGTTGGTCAATTGTCGTGATTTGTTGGTCAACAAGAAGCGTGATATAATAACTGTTATCACTAATTAATTACAAAATTCTTGCTATCTAATAATAAATTTTCGATAATTAATAATATACAATTGAATTAATAGATATTTGTGAGTATAAAAATTAATTCATAAATTGAAAACGTATAATGATATATAATTAAATTTCATGACCGAATTAAATTATTAGTTGGTGAGTATAAAACTAATTTATAAATTGAAAATTTTGCTATACTAATTAATTACTCGTGTATGGAATTTTTAGGCGTAGGTGTGTATAAAATTTAATTATAAATAGCAATTGTATAATAATCTATAATAAACTTTCGCTAATTAATTATATGCAATTAAATTATTAGGTCGTAAGTATAAAAATTAATTTCAAAAATTGAAAAATGTCTAATGATATATAATTAAATTTTCACGAACGAATTAAATTATTAGAGGGTGAGTGCAAAGTTTAATTTATAATAGAAAATGTATAATAATTATAATAACAGCTCATTAACTAATTAATTTTTAGCCGGTGAGTATGAATTGAAATATTATTAGTAATTAAAAAAACTTCTCTAATTAATTATAAATGAATTGAATTATTAGGCAGTAAGTAAAATTATTTCAAATTGAAAACTTTATATAACTTATCGCTAATTAATTATATACAATAAAATTATTAGATGGTAAGTATGAAGGAATATGATCAGTAATTAATAATACTTCTCTGATTAATTATACATGAATTAAATTATTAGAAAGTGAGTATAAAATTGTTTTACAAATTGAAACTTTATAATAACAATTGCTAATTAATTAAATACAATTGAATTATTAGATAGTGAGTATTAAAATTAATTCATAAATTGAAAATGAATTATGATCTATAATTAAAATTTCATGAACGAATTAAATTATTAGCTGGTGTGTATAAAATTAAATTATAAATAGAAAATATATAATAATGAGTAAGAATCGTAATTAATAAAACCTCTCTAATCAATTAAATATGGTTTAAATTCTTAGGCAGTGAGTAAAAATTTTACAAATTTAAACCTTCATAATAATCTTACTAATTAATTACATGCAATTAAATTATTAGCCAGTGAGTATAAAATTATTTTACAAATTGAAAATTCATGATAATCTTTTACTAATTAATTACATGCAATTGAATTATTAGATGGTGAGTATAAAAATTAATTCATAATGTATAATGATCTATAATTAAATAATCTATAATAAAACTTCATTAACGAATTAAATTATTAGGCAGTAAGTAAAAATATTTTACAAATTGAAAACTTTATAAAACCTATTGTTTTTTAATTATTTACAATTGAATTATTAGATGGTAAATTGAAAACGCATAATGATATATTATTAAATTTTCATGAACAAAAAATTAAATTATTAGGAAGTGAGTATAAGATTAATTTATAAGTAAAAAATATATATAATCTACAGAAAAATAAAAGTTCATTAACTAATTAAATTTTTACGCGGTGAGTATGATCCAAAACAAGATCCGTAATCAATAAAACTTTCTCTAATCAATTATACATGAATTAAATTATTAGGATGTATGTAAAATTATTTTCCAAATTAATCCTATAAGATAACATATTACTAATAAGTTATATACAATTGAATTATTAGCTTGTGAGTATTAAAATTAAATCATTAATTGAAAATGTATAGCGATCCATAATTAAATTACATTAATAAACTAAATAATTAGATTGTGAGTATAAAACTTAATCTATAATTAGAAAATGCATAATAGTCTATAATAAAATTCATTAACTAATTTAATTTTTAGCCGGTGAGTATGAATCGAAATATTATTAGAATTAATAAAAGTTTTCTAATTAATTATACATGAATTAAATTATTAGTCGGTAAGTAAAATTAACTTTACAAATTGAAAACTTTATAATAATCTACAGCTAATTAATTATAAACGATTGATTTATTAGATGGTAAGTATTTAAATTAATTCATAAATTGAAAATGCATAATTATCTATAATTAAATTTCATGAAATTATTAGTGCGTAAGTATAAAATTTTTAAATAGAAAATGCATAAAAATTTATAATAATCTTTCACTTATAAATCCATGCAATTAAATTATTAGCCGGTGAGTATAGAAATTAATTTATCTTATAAATTGAAAATGTTTAAATAATGAATCAAATTGTGATTAATAAAACTTCTATAATCAATTATATATGAATTAAATTATTAGATAGTATAAAACTGTTTTATAAATTGGTAACTTTATAATAACCCTTTCACTAATTAATTACATGCAATTGTATTACTAGATGGTAAGTATTATTAAAACTAATTCGTTAATAATAACTTATAATAAAATTTACATGAACGAATTAAACTATTAGGAAGTGAGTATAAAATTTGTTTATAAATGTAATATGTTTAACAACAGATAATAAACTACTAACTGAAAACTTGTAATATCCTAATTATATATAATTGAACTATTAGCTGGTGTGTATCAAAATTAATTCTTAAATTGAAAGTTTATAATGTTCTATAATTAACTTTCATTAACAACTTAAATTATTATTAACGAATTAAATTATTATTAACGAATTAAATTATTAGTGTGTGAGTATAAAGTTAATTTATAAATTGTAATGCGTAATGTTAATAAAACTTCATTAACGAATTAAATTTTAGATTGTGAGTATGAATCGAAATTTAATCCGTAATTATAAAATATCTCTAATCGATTGTATATGGATTAAATTATTAGGCTGTAAGTAAAATTATTTACAAATTAAAACTTTATAATAACCTATTGCTAATTAATTAAATTATTAGCTGGTGAGTATAAATATTAATTTATAAATTAAGAATGTATAATTAATTAAAATTAAATTTTCATGAACAACTTAAAATATCAGCTAGTGAGTATTTAATTTGATAAAAGTTTATTAGCCTATAATAGCTATAAATTGAAAATTTTATAATGCCTATTAATTATATGCTATTAGCTGGTCGTGAGTATAAAAATTAAATCATAAATTGAAAATATACAATGTTGTATAAATATATTTATGAACGAATTAAATTATTAGAAAGTGAGTATAAAATTTAATTATTATATAAACATGTATGATAATGAATATGAATCGAAAGTTAATCCATGATTGACAAAACTTCTTTTATCAAATAATTAAATCGTTAGATGGTAAGTATAAACCTATTTTACAAAGTTGAACCTTTATAATAACCTTTCACTAATTAATTATTCAATTGAATTATTAGTTGGTAGGTATAAAATTAATTCATAAATTGAAATGTATAATGGCCTATAATTAAATTTCCATGAACGAATTAAATTTATAGCCGTTGGTGAGTAAAAATTTAATTCATGTATTGAAAACATACAATAATCAATAATTAAAATTTCATGAACGGAATGAATTAAATTATTAGACAGTGAGTATAGATTTGATTTATAAATTGAAAATGTATAATGATCTTTAATTAAATGTTCATGAACGAACTAAATTAATAGCTAATAGTGAGTATAAAAATTAATTTATGAATTGAAAACAACTATAATTAATTTTCATGAACGAATTAAATTATTAGACCGTGAGTATAAATTTAAATTATAAAATGAAAAATGTATTATGCTCTATAATTAAAGTTTCATGAACAATTAAATTATTAGCAAGTGAGTAATGATTTAATTTATAAATTAAAGTATTTAATTATCTAAATAATAAAACTATAATAACAATTAAATTTTTAGCGCGTGATGATTGGTAAACTTCTCTAATCAATTGTAATAAATTAAAGAAGTAGCAAGTAAGGATAAATTATTTTAACAATTACGCCTCGTTAATTTAATTAATAATATATATAAATTTAATCCATAATTAATAATACTTATCAATTAATTGAATTATTAGAAGGTGAGAATAAATTATTTTTAATAATTATTCTTTTATTAATTTAATCAATAATATACAGTCAACTCTCTCTAAATGCAAGTCAACGAGCCAGCAAAATATCTTGCATTTAGAGAGAACTTGCACTTAAAGAAAACTAAATTAATATATAATTAATTCTCTCTAA